GCAATAAATGGTATCAGTACAATGTATTTTGTGGGGTTTGAAGCCCCTGAAAAATTTACCTTACAGTGAAGCAGGGTTACAGTATATTCCTTGAAGCCAACATAAAGCTATATAGAGTATATACCAATCAGCCAATCTTCATGCCACAGCCTTTCTTTGGCAATCCTGAATTCCAACCAACATTCAGTACATCAGAATTTTGCTGGTGAAGATTAGAAAAACTTTTCTGTATCAGAGATCTTCTGAGAAAATGGTTAATTTCCTTGCTGCAATGTATCAGGGGGGCACCTCAGGAGGAAATGTTTAGGTAAACTAAATCAATTTATCTCTCCACATGCTGGGATATCCCCTGCATTTGATTTGCTGTTTTATGACAGTCTGTCAGGCTTTTCCTGAGGCAAGGGGCCTCATTTTCTCCCTCTATTCTTATATGTTGAATCAAGACCCACCCATTTTGTATCCAGATGGAAGAAGGAATTCGACTGCCCTATCCTATCATTTACAAATTGGTATAGATCAAAGATCTTTGAAACAATGGCTGAGATTTCAGAGAATATAAATATAAAAGGGACATGTAAGTAATTGAACAGGTGGTATTTTACCAGTTAGGCAGAGTGGAAGTTTTCCATCTTGCTCTTAAGACCATGTGGGGTTGTCTGGTGGCCGGGTATTATTGGCAAGCAGTAGAAACCATTTGTTAACAAAGAAAGGGAGAGAGTGCACATCTGCCCTAGTGTGATACAGTTTATTGATAAAACCAATGGAAATTCTCAATCAATACACTCACAAGAGATGGTAAAAAGATCGGCATATAGAAGGACCCAATATAGAAGGACATTGGTTTTATCAACAAACTGTATCACACTAGGGTGGATGTGTGCTGTCTCCCTTTCTTTGTTCATAGATGTTATGCCACCACCCAGTGGATTTCCCAGAGAGCTGCAACGCCAGATTGAGAGATGAACTGTAATCAACTACTGTTACCAGCGAGTCCAGAGCGGCTTTTTTGACCACCGCATTGACTAGCTCGTTTGTGTGATGTTTTTTAAAACATTTTGTTGCTTCTGTTTGCAGAGAGCTTCAGTTAACACCATGGATGGTGCTGTCTTCCTGGGATATACTGTTCACAAAAGAAACTATACCTCTTTCTGTTGGTATCAGCCTGATGGATTATTGCTAAATGGTTTAAAGGCATTTAAAAAAAATAACAAACGTCCTAATTCCCTGCTCAGTGCAATACTTCTGCACAGAGCAGCCCTGATCCTCTTCTTGGTTCCTCTGCCGGGGCTCCTGGCCCCTTTCCTCCTGATGAGTTCCCCTAGAGAAAGCAGCTTGTTATGGAGGCACCCAAACAGCATTGCTTCCAAGCCGCTGCTCTCCCTGTCCATTCACACATGGAGCACAGATCTGCTTCTCTCTCTCCTCATTGGCTCACTGGCTGTGATTGACAGTAGAAGGAGACAATTACTCCCATTGCTGTCTCAGCCAGTGATGAGGAAGGAATTTTCCAATTTCCAAAATGGCCATTGGCCGTTGGCGCATGCGCAGTAGTGTGTGTGCGTGGCTACACACACACACACACTACTGCGCATGCGCCAACGGCCGTTGCCATTTTGGAAATTGGAAAATTTGGATTTTTTTGCCAATGCCTTATGGTATTTGCTTACATGTGAGTGTAACCATAAAGAAATGTTGTGAATATGGTTTTACACTATGTGGGGCGTTCTTTCTTTGCATGTTTTCCACTACGAGTCCAAGCCTTATCCTGAATGGTTTAGCTACCCTAATTAAAGTCTATTGTTTGGAAGATCCTTATCTGCTGTTTTGGTGATCTGGAGGAGGATTCGAGTGACAGACTTTTTGGATTGTTTAACAGAATGTGATTGACATCGCTTAACAGGGGGTCATGCCTTTCTGGTAAGCCTTCTGTAGTAGTGGTTGGTGACATGACAACTGTCCTTGGTTTTCTTTTGTTTCATCACAGCCTCTGGGACTTTTATTTTTGGATCGACTATTTTTTGACACACGTTTTCACTGTTTTCTTATGATTATTTGTAACTTTTTAAGCGCTGCACTTCTATGTATTTATTGTTGATTGCCTAGTATCAGGGTTTTTGTGTTCAGCTGATATATGTTTTACACCTCATTTTTAACTATTTATTTATTGTGGTTCTTATTAGTACAGGTTTATATATATATTTATCTATGAATTTGGTGTTGCTTTGTCATGCTTCTTAAATACATTGGCCCATCCATTTAGGGTTCATAAACACTGGGTTTGTAGCCATGGTGCATGAGACCCCAGCGTTTGGGTATGGGTGAAAGGTACATTCGCACTGTCTATCTCCACTGGCAGCACAATGTAAAAGTCTATGACAGGCTTACAACTGCTGCAAGTGGATAGGGCTGGATAGTACACTGAGCAGTACTAACATTTAAGGCAGTATATATCTAGGTGAGAATGCATGGAACACAGGCAGTCTGCATTGTGAGAATTTGTCCCTGGGCACATACTGCCCTAAATGTTAGTAGCACTCTCCAGCCCTGTCCAGTCACAGCAGCTGTAAACCTCTGAAAGACTTTTAAAGGGAGCCGGAAATGGCTGTATTGTAAGTCTTTACTTTCCACCCACGCTTAAATTCCAGAGTCTAATGCCCCAGTGTAAACTCCCAGTGTGCATGAGGCCTTAGGTGTCCCAGAGATAGGCCTGCTGGACTTATGACAATAGTAAATCAGCTCCTATTTAAATGTAAAGTAAATTAAATAAATTTTGGTTAGATCTGTACTCAGTTTTATGCTTGTGATTCAATTACTTAAAGAACTTTTCTTTTTTTTTTTTATAAAGGTTTGTGAATTATTTGTTGATTCTGTTAAAAAAAATATGTCAAGTTAACCATTACAATATTTCCTGTCCTGTGTGTCATAATTATAAGAAGGAAAATATAATATTGCTGTAGGTTAGCTGTAAATCAGTGAATACTGGACAAATCCTTTTCTAAACACTTATATATGTACCAATATAAATTGACCGTATATTGTTGTCTATTACCATCAACAGGCCCCTGCCATGGCTCATGAGTCAATAAAAATGAGTCTGGATATCATTTGTGGTTACAAAATTAAACTAGCAATGTATGCGGATGAGGGGTTTTTATGTATAATCCCCAATATCATTAACTAATGCACTGTCTGTATTTGCATAGTAATCTTTATTAAATGGAACTTTTTCCTTTACACCTCTCTAAATCCCTTAATATTAATTTTGATTTTATTTAAATGACTCATTATATACCATATTTAGGAATAAAACCCATGTCTATTTATCATTCAGCATAATTTAAATTAGCCCCAATTATTTAGGGATTTGTCACAATACCAAAGCCAGCTAACGTATTGGCTATGTAGGATTACAACCACATACAAATGTATTATTTCTAATCTTTTTTTTTTTTTTGTATCTCATACAATTTTGTTTGTAAGATATAATGTGATTTGAAGCATACACATTCAAATAATTTGGATCAATAAAAAAAAGATTATTCAAAGGATCACAGGTTAACAGGTTACTTTGAAAGGCAGTTTGGATGTGTCAAATCAATGGACATATTTAGAATTGCAGAGCTAGTACCCTTGATTCAATGGCATAATGTTGTATTTTTTCTGTGTTGGGAACGTTCGAATGAGATGTTAAGGAAAAGAAAAATGACTTTCTTAATATTACTGCAGGTACCATTATAAGTTAGGCATTCTATTTCTGGTCACTATCACAGACAATGCAGCTTTTCTTTCTTCTTTATGGTCTTTCTCCTTTTGTAGATGGATTAAAAGGGTGGGTGGGGGGTAAACCTAGAAAGAGGGTGTTAAAACTTAGAAATGTTTTTTTCTGAAACCTGGTTTGAAGTGCTGTCAGTGTCCTGTCTCTTCTATGAAATTCCTGCTACTAAAAAAAATTATTAATGTTCAGTTCCCTTAAACATTTAAGAGAACAAATGTTTAAGATCATTGATCATAAATATTTAATCAGTGACCAAGATGTAAACCACATTTGCTGTTCAAAATCTTTTTTTTTCTTTTTTTTTTACATTTTCCATTCATTGCAATTTTTAATGTACTATTCTGTGAACTGATTTTTTCATTTTTTAAACTTTTACAATTTTTAACCCTTTCACTGCCACTGATATAAGGCTTACAGAACCACTTACAGTAGGCCAGCTCTGTAAGCCTTTGATTGGCTGCACTCCCTATAAGCTATAATCTCAGGGGCAGACTGACCATTTGGAAACTCGGGCACTGCCCGAGGGCCCTGGGTCAGTAGGGGGCCCCACGAGATGCCCCTGGTACCTTTTTCATAGGCTTTTTTTTTAGTTTGGGCAAGGACACAGGGGCCCTATGATCCCCTATTGCCCGGGGGCCCCATGAGTTGTCAGTCCACCCCTGTATACGCTCATGGTCAACTCATGGTCAACTCAGTGTTCATGAACTTATAGCAGAAGGGTCTCCTAGACTCTGCTAAGTAGTGAATAGTTATGAACATCAGTATGTTGCTGATCACAGCCATTCATAAAAAAATCAGAGTGCTCCCCCAGCTGTTGCAGCCAGCCACCACCACCGCTGTTGCTACTACTAATACTTCTTCCTCACACTGTGCCCTTTCACTCTCCTGCTCACTTTGTACCAATCAGCTCCCCTTCATGTCCTCCCCACAACCCGCTGTCTCTTGTGGGGCCTAGGACCATTGTTGCTCTCCTCCCACCTGTACTGGTAGAGACTCACTATATCTGATCTGGTGACATCGTCCTCAAGTTTATTTCATTAACCACCGCCCGCCATATAGTAAAATGACGGACGCAAGGTGGTTCTCTCGTTCTGGGAGGATGTCATATGATGTCCTCCCATTCTAACCGCGCATACGCGGCTCAGAGAGCACGCAGCGCGGCGATCGGCGGTGCGCTGTGTCCCTTGGACACAGCAAATTACCAATCCATGGAAAGAGCTGAATATGTCGGCTCGGTCATGTGATCAGCTGTGTCCAATCACAGCTGATCACATGTAAACAGGGAAATGCCGGTTATCGGCATTTCTCTCCCCACGAGCTGTCACGCTGACAGCTTGTGAGGAGAGCCAGTAATCGGCATTCCTCGGAGGGGACATGTGCACAGATCATCAGAGCACTGATGATCAGTGTGCCCTGATGATCTGTGTAGCCCCAGCAGCACCACCTGTTAGTGTCCAACAGTGCCAGCTCTCAGTGCTCATCCATGCCACCTGCCAGGGCCCATCAGTGCCACATCAGTGCCACATTTCAGTGCCACATCAATGCCACATATCAGTGCCCATCTGAGCTGCCTTTCAGTGTCACCCATCAGTGCCAGTCAGTGCCACCTATCAATGCAAGTCAGTAAGACCTATCAGTGTTGCCAATCAGTGCCATCTATCAGTGCCAGTCAGTGCCGCCTATCAGTACCAGTCAATGCCGCCTATCAGTGTGTATCAGTGTCGCCTATCAGTGCCTGTCAGTGCTGCCTATCAGTGCCGCCTAACCTTGCCAGTCAGTGCCACCTAACAGTGCCAGTCAGTGCCGCCTATTAGTGCCAGTCAGTGCCATCTATCAGTCCCGCCTATCAGTGCCATATATGAGTGCTGCCATCAGGCATCACGCCTGTCAATGCCCATCAGTGGCACCTACCAGTGCCCCCCCATCAGTGCCCATCAGTGCCACCTATCAGTGTCCATCAGTGCAGCCTATCAGTGCCCATCACTGCAGCCTCATTAGTGCACATCAGTGAAGGAGAAAAATCACTTATTTACAAAATATTATAACAGAACCTCAAATTTTTCAGTGGTTTTTGGTTTGTTTAAGAAAAAATAAAAAAACCCAGAGGTGATTAAATACCACCAAAATAAAGCTCTATCTGTCACAAAAAAATGATAAAAATTTCATATGGGTACAGTGTTGCATGACCGCGCAATTGTCATTCAAAGTGCAAAAGCTCTGAAAGCTGGAAATTGGCCTGGGCAGGAAGGGGGTATAAGTATTAGTTTATGTAAACTTGGACTGATGTCTTGTCTTGAATATTCCATCATCTTTGATTACATGTTTCCATAAAACCTCAGTTGAAATGTTTGCAGATACTGAACTGACAATAGTCACTAAATGGTTGCTGTGACGAACTTGGTGTCAGACCACTGCCCTTTTCACCATCTGACTGGTCAACCTCACACCATGCTGTCGCAACAATGCCACTCTCAGCCTCACACTACTCAAAAATTCTCCAGCTCTCAGGACCACAATCCAGGTGCCAGAAGCCTGAGAGCAATTGTCACTGAATTTAGTTAACTAAGCAGTTAACCCTTTAAACTGCCCCACCTGCTTTTTTTTATCGATAAGCAAGAAACGTTCCCAATGTTAGCAATAGCAATGTCTGTGTAGTGCCACCCTTGTGAGTGCCGCTGTGTTGTGGGTACTCCTAAGCTTCTCTCTGCACAGCCAGGCAACAGGTATTTCTCACACAGATTTCCATCCAAGAGACAGCAACCAGTCCATGGGCTTGGTTTTGTTGTTTTTTTTTTAGGGGAAATCGACTTGGATAGGGAAATAGAGATTATGGGATGCCCAGTTGGCTTGCATTGTGGATCAGTAGCAACAGCCCTTTATGGGCAAGGAACTAGCAGCCTCTAAAAATCAGATTAAGTTCTTTCCCCGTGTAGACCTGCTCCCAGCTCCATGGCCTGCAAACACTACCAGGCCTCCTTGCTTCTCGGAAGATCTCGCAGGACAACGATAAGGGATTGAGCCCAGCGCTGTCCTTAGAAAGCTTGCTTTGTGTGGCTGTCTTTCCCCTTGTAGATCCCAGAGAGTGCTGTTTTACTTACTCTGTCCTCCTTGCTCCCTGCTGCTCTAGGTCTCAATCCCATTCATGCTGCACTGCTGAATGTATCCTCCTGAGCCAGCTCGAGTCCAGCCAGGAGGCCCCCCATATCCTAAGGAACGCCTCCCAGGCACTGACAGTCTCCTCAGCACTCCATCTTCCACCTAACTCCTCTGTCAGCCTGACTCTCCCATATTTATGGGCCAGTTCACCACTCTACCAGGGCCTTCAAACCTGGGATTTGCTGGACTCCCATAAACATGCAGATTAGGTCTCTATCCATTCCTGCTTACTGACTTTAGGAGGGTTCTGTGGTACTGTGAGTCAGGAGGAGGCAATAGAGCCACAACCTGTTTAAGTTATCCAGCTGACCTGCAATAACCCAACCTCAATCACAGACTCACACAGTTACCATGAGTCATACACAATAATTTTACCTGCAATACACTACACTATTCTAGTAGCAAACTAGAGGGTGCTACATCTGTAACACACACTGTCACTGCAGACAGATATGTTCAGAGATCTATACTACAGTAGTGTATCCTCAACAGATGGGGATTCCTTTAATTTTCATTAGAGCAGTAGAGACAATTTTTACACTTTTCAAAATATGGTTTAATAATGAAAAGGTAATAAATGGTGAAAAATAAAATATTTACAGAAAAAAAAGTATTACAATGAAACAAAGAGACAACAAGCAACGGAAAAATAAAGGGGCGAAAAATGAAGAATACTTGCAAGTGCTGTTTCAGCAGACTTCAGTCTATGTGCAAGGTAATATATTGCCTCTCATAACTTGACAGGTGTTCATTTGCTTGATGGTACACAAGAGCTCCCAAAATGTGTTTGCATTCCACTTTTCTTCACATCAAGGGGGATGTTGACAGAGACCATTTAACTAGTCATCTGGTCTAAGGGGTGGCTGCTGAGATATCACTAAGTTTATGATCAAGTCCCAGTTACAGTTTTTATAGGTATTAATATCTCTGAATACCTACAGGTTACAGTCTGCTTATGTGCATATTATTGTCCAGTGTGAAATTAGCTTTGGAATGAATATAAATATGACAAGGGATAAAGGGTTCCATTGGTCCCCTATATGGTCTGACATAGGGGTGTTTGAACTTAAAACATTACAAATTGCTGAGGAAAGTAAAAATGCCTTACTATGGCTGTGCTGTTATTATTTCATGTTATGTTATTATTTCATGTTCATGTTGAGTTATGACATATACTGAAGTTTTAGAGTCTTTGCTAATAACTAATTAATCAGGAATGTGCATTCGCCTTTCCCCCAGCTGTACTATTTATGACAGGGTATATGTTAACACTCAAGGCACTCAGGCCCATTGAATCTGACATTTTTATTAGAGTTTTGAGATTTAAATGTGAATTCAAGTAATAGGCATGAGAATGTCTGCATTTTTCCTTGCAAGGATCTGATAAGAAAGTTCTGGCATGGCTAACAGTTATGTATTGCAGAAACTTAACCTCCCTGGTGGTATTCCTGAGTGTAGCTCGGGGTTAATTATCAGTGCCAAAAGCGGTAACCCTCGAGCTACACTCAGGATTACCCTGCAGCGTTGCTCTGTGATCCCCGCTTCACTAACCTTGCCCTGCGCTCCTGTGATGTCCCCCCTGCAGCGTCCCCGGCCATCTCCTCTGGCCGATGCCGGCATCCGTCTTCTGGGTTCTTGTCCCTGTGAGTGTTGGGATGCACGGGACGTACGGGGGGCCGGAACCAGCGGGAAATTAAAAAAATTTAAAAAGTGATATTCACGAAATGCACTAAAATCACATATTAAAACATTACTGTTTCAAAGCATTTCACATACATTTTGTCCCTAGTGCTTTGTCCTGTGCCCTGCCTGCACTCTGGCACCGAACTGTATAAAAGAGGATTCTCAGAAGAGTACACAGTAAACTATTTGTAATTAATAGAATATTCCCTCTGGCAACGTAAACCATCCCCAACTATCTGTACAACAGGGATTTATGAGAAGACATATTACACACTCACACTGATACAGCTCTAACTGAAATATATTCATAATTACAATATTATTTACAGTGGATAATACATATTTCACATAAACTTGTTATCCAACAATTTCACATCTGCATAGATAACACCATTAATCTAAGAAAGAAAGGCGCTACTCATATCAATTATTAATATGCTCACTGAGGCGATCCCACGATCGCTGCCACCAATATGTGATGGGTGCGGCGTCAGACCACAGACCTTCTCACCAAACTCGTGACCAAAGGACTAGCCGATCTAAAACCGCGATGGCACGTGCGTAACAATGCCACACCCAACTGCACCCTGCACAACGATTTTCCAGCTAATTGGACCACAATCGATGTCCCGGCAGCCTGAGCGATTGTTACTGGGTCAGGTTAATTATGCAATTAACCCTTCACACTGCCACCACCTCCTTTTTGTACAGAGAAAGAGGAAACTCAGCAATATCAGCTAAAACACTAAATATTCTTTTCTCTTTCTCTGCGAGATGTTGCACACAGAAAATCCTCACTTCTCTGACTACCTACAACACATAACAGCTTCTTTTTCTACACAAAATCAACTGGTATCTTCCTACCACGGACAAGCCAATCCTTATTTGGCAAAGAATTGTTAGGCAGGGGCTCACCATCACACGCTGATCACATTCCTGAGGGAGGGGGGAATGAGGGGATACATGAAGACTTCTTAATACAGAGAGAGCCTGTGCCTGGCTCTTGTATGCACGATACTACACCTCCCCCCCCCCCCTCAGGTGATGGCATATGAGTTTAAGAGCAATACCAAAATGTAGAAGTTTGGGGTAAAATGGAGAGCCGCACCTCTCCCTGTGGGCATGATTGTGACACTCACTACTTACATAAATACTAATAACACATCACAATTATTATCACCACAGTGTCAAATCAAATTTTAAAGTCTCCACAAAGAAAAACTCTATATTATTTCCACAAAGAATTAGCTATCCACACCATGTGTAAAAAAATGGGTAATCCACTTGTGCAAATATCCACCGCATGCAGTGAGAGTAATAATTCACCAGATATGGAATATTGGAAGGCAAATCATAATCAGCTATATCAAAATGACTGAATTGACCAAAATCTTCGCAGTCTTTTACACAGTAGGTTTTGCAATCAGGATGAGACAGCACAAACACTCAAACACTCAAGAGAGAAGTTCTATAGTGTAGAAAGTTTATTAAAATTGAGAAGAATATAAAAAGTAATGCATTCACATATTTCGGTGCCAAATGGCACCCTCAGAAGGCAGAAACAGATGAGTCAGCGTGTGTTCCATGACTCGGATCTGTTACCGGAAGTGACTCACAGAAAGAACGGAAGTGACAACAAATGGCTGGGCCTCAATGCATTTTGCAAGTCACGTCATCAGGAAGTTCCTGAGTGTTTTTCACTTTTAAAGGCAGCTTCTCATTAAAATGGAAGTGGCGCCCGTTTTTCTGTTTGGATAGATAACATCATGGCAAACAGTAAGCAATATGTCAGTGTTCTAGTGGCAGATCACCAGGGGTTTGGATGAAAAAAACAGGAAATGACAGCTAACCCCTATATCCAAGATGGGCGTGTGATATTTAAATAACACTGGCAGACCTAGAGTATTTGGAATATGACACT